ACTGACAAGTCGTACGTCCCATTTGCTACTGTTGAGCTACGTGACAATAGGCGCTCACAACAATCCACACTCTAAGCAACAGGCTGAGAGAAGACAGAAATGGTGAGGGTAGAAGGAAATGGAGACAAAGTGTACATGCCAAATGCCTTTAAGAAAGTTCCCTAACAGGCTGGCGCTGCGGCTCACTAGGCTAATCCTCCGCCTAGCAGCGCTGGCACACCGGGTTCTAGTCCCGGTCGGGGCGCTGGATTCTGTCCCGGTTGCCCCTCTTCCAGGCCAGCTCTCTGCTGTGGCCAGGGAGTGCAGTGGAGGATGGCCCAAGTACTTGGGCCCTGCACCCACATGGGAGACCAGGATAAGTACCTGGCTCCTGTCATCGGATCAGCGAGGTGCGCCGGCCGCAGCGCACCGGCCGCGGCGGCCATTGGAGGGTGAACCAATGGCAAAGGAAGACCTTTCTCTCTGTCTCTCTCTCTCACTGTCCACTCTGCCTGTCAAAAAATTTAAAAAAAAAAGAGTACATGTCCCATAATTTCTTTATCCAGTCTACTGTTGATAGGCATTTGGGTTGGTTCCAGCTCTTAGCTATTGTGAATTGAGCTGCAATAAACATTAATGTGCAGACTGCTTTTTTGTTTGCCAATTTCATTTCCTTTGGGTAAATTCCAAGGAGTGGGATGGCTGGGTTGAATGGTATGGTTATATTCAGGTTTCTGAGGAATCTCCAGACTGACTTCCATAGTGGCTTAACCAGTTTGCATTCCCACCAACAATGGGTTAGTGTCCCTTTTTCCCCACATCCTCTCCAGCATCTATTGTTGGTAGATTTCTGAATGTGAGTATTCTAACCCGGGTGAGGTGAAACCTCATTGTGGTTTTGATTTGCATTTCCCTGATTGCTAGTGATCTTGAACATTTTTTCATGTGTCTGTTGGCCATTTGGATTTCCTCTTTTGAAAAATGTCTATTGAGATCCTTGGCCCATCTCTTAAGTGGGTTGTTTGTTTTGATGTTGTGGAGTTTCTTGATTTCTTTGTAGATTCTGGTTATCAACCCTTTATCTGTTGCATAGTTTGCAAATATTTTTTCCCATTCTGTCGGTTGCCTCTTCACTTTCCTGACTGTTTCTTTTGAAGTACAGAAACTTCTCAATTTGATGCAATCCCAAATGTTAATTTTGGCTTTGACTGCCTGTGCTTCTGGAATATTTTCCAAGAAGTCTTTGCCAGTACCTATATCTTGCAGAGTTTCTCCAGTGCTCTCTAATAATTTGATGGTGTCGGGTCATAGATTTAAGTCTTTAATCCATGTTGAGTGAATTTTTGTGTAAGGTGGAAGGTAGGGGTCTTGCTTCATGATTCTGCATGTGGAAATCCAATTTTCCCAGCACCATTTATTGAATAGACTGTCCTTACTCCAGGGATTGGTTTTGGATCCTTGAACAAATATAAGTTGGCTGTAGAAGTTTGGATTGATTTCTGGTGTTTCTATTCTGTTCCATTGGTCTATCCATCTGTTTCTGTACCAGTACCATGCTGTTTTGATAACAACTGCCCTGTAGTGTGTCCTGAGAAATTATGGGACATGTACTCTATAGAATACTATACAGCAGTCAAAAACAACGAAATCCAGTCATTTGCAACAAGATGGAGGAATCTGGAAAACATTATGCTGAGTGAATTAAGCCAGTCCCAAAGGGACAAATATCATATGTTCTCCCTGATCAGCGACAACTGAGCACCAAAGGGGAAACCTGTTGAAGTGAAATGGACACTATGAGAAACAGTGACTTGATCAGCTCTTGTCCTGACTCTTGATGTACAATGTAATACTTTATCCATTTTAGTATTTTCTCTTTGTTTTGTTCTAGTACTATTGGTTGAACTCTGTGATTAACACACAATTATTCTTAGGTGTTTAAATTTTAACTGAAAAGTGATCACTGTTAAATATAAGAGTGGGAATAAGTGAGGGAGGAGATGTACAATTTGGGACATGCTCAATTGGACTTGTCCCAAAAGGTGGAGTTAGAATCATGCCAGGGGATCCCAATACAATCCCGTCAAGGTGGCATGTACCAATGCCATCTCACTAGTCCAAGCTATCAATTTCAGTTCACAATTGATCACACTGATAGGTCTAAGAGTCAAAGGGATCACACAAACAAGACTAGTGTCTGCTAATACGAGCTGATAGAATCAAAAAGGGAGAGAACAATCCATCTTGGGAAGCGGGATACACAGCAGACTCATAGAATGGTAGATGTCCTAAATAGCACTCTGGCCTCAGAATCAGCCCTTAAGGCATTCGGATATGGCTGAAAAGCCCATGAGAGTATTTTAGGCATGGAAAAACAAGAAACTCTGGGAAAAAAAAAAAAAAAAGAAGACCTGAATGGAAGATCTCTGCGAGTGATATCCCAGTGGAAAGAACGGGGCCATCAAAGAAGGAGGTACCTTTCTCTGAAGGGAGGAGAGAACTTCCACTTTGACTATGACCCTGTCGGAATAAGATCGAAGTTGGCGAACTCAAAAGGCTTCCATAGCCTTGGCAACTCATGACTAGAGCCTAGGGAGATTACTGACGCCATAAACAAGAGTGTCAAATTGTTAAGTCAACAACAGGAGTCACTGTGTACTTACTTCTCATGTGGGATCTGTCCTTAGTGTGTTGTCCAATGTGAAGTAATGCTATAACTAGTACTGAAACAGTATTTTACACTTTGTGTTTCTGTGTGGGTGCAAACTGATGAAATCTTTACTTAATATATACTAAATCGATCTTCTGTATATAAAGATAATTGAAAATGAATCTTGATGTGAATGGAATGGGAGAGGGAGCAGGAGATGTGAGGGGTGTGAGTGGGAGGGAAATTATGGGGGGGAGCCATTGTAATCCATTAACTGTACTTTGGAAATTTATATTTACTAAATAAAAAATAAAAAAATTAAAAACAAACAAAAAAAACACAAAAAAAATTTAAAAAAAAAAGCAGGTTCCCTAATGTCATTTCTGCTATACATCCATTGGCCAAAATACTGTGACAGTCATAGCTGATTCTGAGGGAGACTGAAAATATGGTCTTTATTCTAGGTAGTGTGCTCCCACATAGAAAATGGGAGGGGTTTTATCATCACAGAAGAAAAGGGAAACACATATTTAGAAATAACTGGCAGTCTTAGTCAATAACTCAAGAATTATCTAATTACACAAAACCCTACCAAAAGCTAGAAAGAAAAATAATCTGGCAACAAAGAAGGTGCAATAAGAATTAAATAGTAAATTAAAGAGTATATAAAGCAACCATGTTTGATAGCAGGAAGCATCAGAAGAGATGTTTGCAAAAGGGCAGAGAAATAACCAAAAATTCTGAAGGTGAAGGGGACATTTTCTATTAGATGGGAACCAGAGGCAATATCCACCAAATGTACTACAGCAAGTAAAAAGAAATAGTTTACAGGAGCTGTAACTAAAATGATACTGCTTTTTAAACTTCTGATTAAGGCAACAAACTCTTAATAAAGTTTATCTTTACCTATTTTATTTCTTCATATGCTTCTAATTCCTGAAAGACCTGTTATTGACTGATCTTAATGTTTCTGGCAATATTTCAAGGATCTATATTGCATTTGGCTCTTGCTATATATATACAAAGATATAATCACTTTTGTTTGACCAATACTTGCTTTTTATTTACTGTGTTAACATATAAGTAATACACATGTTGGAAAAATACTGAATAGTCTTTTCCAAAAAAATCCCAACATATACAACTTGCAGTAAATTTATGTAATCTTCTTAATAATTGATTACAAACCTACAGACAGACGTGATTTCTATGTAAGAAACAAACAGAATGTGATGAAGATAAAGTATTCAGGAGAAATAATGTTTAATATGCTTCAGGAAAAGATAATTAATATTTAGTTTTTTAAATCTACAAGTTCAGAAGGGTCCTACCACAGATATGAATATAAATAAATAAACGTTCCATATGGAAAATATAACTCCCAAATGGTGAAACCCAGAGTAGTGTTAAAACTTTGTTATATGAGGCCGGCGCCGCGGCTCAATAGGCTAATCCTCCGCCTAGCAGCGCCGGCACACCGGGTTCTAGTCCTGGTCGGGCGCCGGATTCTGTCCCAGTTGCCCCTCTTCCAGGCCAGCTCTCTGCTGTGGCCAGGGAAGGCAGTGGAGGATGGCCCAAGTGCTTGGGCCCTGCACCCCATGGGAGACCAGGAGAAGCACCTGGCTCCTGCCTTCGGATCAGTGCGGTGCGCCGGCCGCAGCGCGCCAGCCATGGCGGCCATTGGAGGGTGAACCAATGGCAAAGGAAGACCTTTCTCTCTGTCTCTCTCTCTCTCACTGTCCACTCTACCTGTCAAAAAAAAAAAAAAAAAAAAAAAACAAAAAAAAAAAAAACACTTTGTTATATGAAATGGACAAAAGGCCAGGGCCAGAGCTCACACATACCCAAATGAGACAAATGCTTTAAAGAAGTTCACGTTTTCTTTAATTCTAGAGCTGATTTGTACTTCCAGAAGAAAGTACAGTTCTAACAAGATGATAGCTTTAAAAATGTCATTTATAAGTATTTACAAACTATATTAAGACTAGCAGACTTGATGCATGACTATATGAATGAAGATTCAAAATTATTCAGATCTATTTAGCTTATTTAAAGGGCACTAAGACACCTGACTCAAAAGCTGTAGCACATGCCTTGTGGGGGAGGGGTAAACATTAGCCTGGAAAATGCAGAGAGTCATGCTCCAGTTCTGGCTCGGCCCCTATTTGGTTACCTTGGCAAGACTTTCTCTCAGTGTCTTCATTTCCTCATGAGGCAAGTGGTGTAGACTTCGTGTTCTCTGAAATCCTTTCTTGCACTGTGATTCCAAGGGATCTTGCAGGTTCATCTTAGATGATATAAAACTCTTAGTCTGTTTATAATAAATCACTTGTGATGCATTTATTATAAGAAACAGTCCACACACGAAGTATGAATTATTAAAATGTTTTATTCCATATGTTTCAAGTCAGAAAAAATAATTCAGAACTGTGGCATTATAATTTTTAAAATAAAAGTAAGATGACCAGATTCAAAAAGTTTAGCATTAAACCTTAAAAAAAAATTAGAATGTTAAAACCAAAAAAGCATTTGACAGAGAAAGGGGAGGAAGAGAGAGAAGTTTCTCACAAAGCATGTTTCAGTTACTCTCTATAACAACCGTGCACTCAGAATTTATAAACATAATTTACAGCTGAGGGAAAGTCCAGCCCAAATGTCCAAACACAGAGCCAAAAGGATTCTGAAATTCCTAGACACATATTGAGGAAGAGAAGAATTTTTCATTTCCCCATTCTCCTTGTCCCAAAAGGGATCATTATAAATTATGCATATAATATGGTAATATTTTATAGAAAATAAGTACTCAGATTAGTGAATATTTCTTCTTCAATTTGTTTTTTATAGCAGACATGTTAATTTCATTTTGAACATGGTATGCCAAATATCCTGAGCTTCCAGGAATGAAGTCATGTATCTCTCCAAGAAATTTCTTCATGGCATCAATTGATATATAACCTACAAAATAAAAAAGTCTATATATATATTTATTTTTAAAATCCTGTCATACTGTATGTTTTCTAATGTCATAGATTTATTAGTGCTGAGAGTTCTAGTGTTAACAGGCATGGTACTATGGAACAGACAGGCCTTAAAAATGTTATTATGTTAACCAATCAGGCCAGGTAAAACAACATCTTTCAGTCTTCACTAGGGTCCAGAAACACCCTCCCCCCATTTCTACTCCTCTATGAAATCCTCTCACTACTTGGTTAATGCCACTCTTAGGACCATTAGCTGCTGTTCTCACACTGGCCTTTATACTATCTTGTCTGTTTAAGTGTTTACAGGGGGTGATAACAGAATGAATCAAAGCCTTCACCAAACAGGCAAACAAATGCTACTACAGGGATATACTCGGCTCCCCACCCAGGAGATTGTGGCTTGAGAAATCACCCCATGCCAGTGTCGCCCCCATGTCAGCAGGAACTAGCTCTAAAGACAGGTAAAGCCATTGCCTGCAGTGCTGGCATCCCAAATGGGTGCCGGTTTGTGTCCTGGCTGCTCCACTTCCGATCTAGCTCTCTGCTGTGACCTGGAAAGGCAGTGAAAGATGGTCCAAGTCCTTGGGCCCCTGCACCCGTGTGGGAGACCCAGAGGAAGCTCCTGGCTCCTGGCTCCAGTTGGGCCCAGCTCTGGCCTTTGTAGAACCAAGCGGATGGAAGTCTCTCTCTCTCTCTCTCTCTCTCTCTCTCTCTCTCTCTCTGCCTCTCTCTCTCTCTCTGTCTCTCTCTCTCTCTGCCTCTGCCTCTCTGTAAGTCTGCTTTTCAAATAAATAAATAATCTAAAAAAAAAAAAAAAGACTGATCATCATCCCTCCATCCCCCTTTCCCTGGACTTTTGGGCCTGATATAATGCCATACAACAGTTGCTTAATAAAAAACAAAAGGGGGGAATGTTAGTAAAATGACACAGTCTTACCTGTGGCATGATCTATGCCCAGGCCACCATCCTCAGCTCTAGCCCTAGTTGTCGACATTGTTAGAAGCCAGGTGACCAAATGGCCCAACCACAGGTGTCAGTTCCACCCCCACCTAACAGAATTTGCTGCTCCTATTTCCCTGCCCCCTGCAAAGGTATAATAGGACCTGCTTACTGCACATGCGCCTTCTCTCCTGACCTTTCCCTCTTACTCCCTCGCCCTCTTCCCCTGGCCCATCAGCATTCCCCCACTGGACAATAAACCTTTCCTCTAAAAAAAAAAAAAGAGAGAGAGAGAGAGAGAGTTCTAGTGTTTTTAGAAAAGAAATACAAAGAAGAGTGAGAAAATTCTCCATAAAATTGGATAAATTATCAGGGAACACCCTTGTGGCCCCCACCCCATAACCTTCTCCTATCTTTTAAAGCACAGATACTTGATTAGCCACTTTGTTTACTCAGAGTGTGATACCTGGATTCAAACCAGAACATAAAAGTACCTGTATCTAAATAACTGGGAAATTGTTTGGCTTGGAGAGTGATCACTGTCCAAAAAGCTACTAAAAACAACAGCTCATCTTCCCTATTACAGCTGGCAACACGTCCCTGAACTGCTAACACTGATAACATTCTTTAGTGAAAAATTAATGGGGAAAGTGATATTACTGCCCAGTTAACAAAGATTATAAGTAATTTTGATGTCATTACTAATCTGAAATAGATATTAGTATCAAAAAAAAAAAAAAACCCTGCCCAAATGGAAATAGCTTAAGGACTCAAATAATCTTAAGCAATAACTTGATAGCAATTGCTTACTATTTGAATGATTACATTTTATGTGTAATGCAAATGTTTGTGGTTTATACTAAAACCAAAATCTAATTTAAAAGTAAATAGTGTATGGAAAAAATTCTGGTAGAGTTCAAGAATAACTAAATTTAGACCACCACTACCAAAAAGATCAATAGCATATCTATGCATATAGTTTGTTTTAATAATAAATTCATGACAAATAAATTAGCTATGAATCCAACTATATAAAATCTATTAATATCTTTTTGAAAAAGATTTATTTATTTATCTGAAAGTTAGAGTTACAGAAAGAGAGAAAGAGAAAGGAGAGCGAGATCTTTCTCCACTGATTCACTCCCCAGATGGCTACAATGGCCAGGGTTAGGCCAAGCTAAAGCCAGGAGCCCAGGAGCTTCATCCAGGTCTCCCATATGAGTGGCAGGGGTCCAAACACTTGGGCCATCTTCTGCTGCTTTCCCCAGGCCATTAGTAGAGAGCTAGATCAGAAGTGGAACAGCTGGGATGCAAACCAATGCCCATATGGGATGCTGGCATCACAGGCAGCTGCTTTACCTGCTATGCCACAACACTGGCCCCAAATATCTTTAATGATATATTTGTCAGTGTCATTTAATTTACAGAATCTCTGCTATACTTTGTATAAGTTCATAATCTTTGCCTAATGGCAAAATAGCCATGTAAAATTAGTTAACAAATATCTTGATATAGAAAGACTTGACTTGCTGTATTCCATGTCTAAAAAATCCAGAAAAAGAGCTGCAATTAGCTCAGCTCAAGTCAAGTATTCAATTACAAAGCAACTCTTAGGAGTAGGAAACAAGCTCACATTTTAGAAAGTGTCCATTCCTGTGTAACCTAGATAAATTGGGAGGAAGAAGAGAGTTCCTAGGAAAGGCATTCTTGATAGACAATTCTAGATATGTCTGTGATAAACAGCCTCCCAGACGGCCCCAACAGATCCCCAACTCCTGGTATTCACAGATTTGTACAGTCCCCTTGAACAACAACACAGAAGTGATGGTTTGTCACTTCTGAGAGTAGGATATAAAAAGGTCAATGGATGCTATCTTGGGCACATTTTTTCTCATCCTTTTATTTCTCAGTACAAAAGAAGTTAGCCATGTTGTAAACAGCTCTTAAGGAGAGGCCCACCTGGTGAGGGGCTGAAGCTTGGGACCAAAACCCAGCTAGGACCCAAGGCCGGTCAACAACTATGAGTGAACTTTAAAGTGGAGTTTCCAGTCCCAGCTGTGCTTTGAAATGATTGTAGCCCAGCTGATAACTTGACTGCAACCTTATAAGAGGCTTTGAGACAAAGTACCCAGCTAGATACTACTAGATTTCTAACCTTAAGAAACTATGCAATTAATAAATGATCATTGTTTAAAGCTGCTGAGTTTTGGAACAATATGATTAACAGCCATAGATAACAACTATTATAGGTTCTCAACTTGCAATTATCAGAACTCTTGAGTATCTGCAAGGTATTTACAGTTGTTAGTAATTGTTTTCTTACTCTTATGTCACTCAATCAGAACTTCTTATCAAGGATGATAACTAATGACGTCAGAATGAGGGGATTTAATTCCAGTCAAAAGCAAAAAATATTAAAAACTTAATGTTTTAGGGTATATCTTGCAATGTCTGCAGACATGTTTACTTGTCACAAATGGGTAGAGAGGGGTACTACTAGCATCTATTGGGCAGAGGCTAGGGACACTGGTAAACATTCTACAACACACAGTACTGATGTTCACCCTGCCCCACCCAAACAGTTAATTATCTGGCCTAAAATGCCAATAGAGCCAAAACTAGGAGCCTATGTTCTAGGACATAGTTCCAACTTGTATTTTCTATAATCAAAGATCTCAATTCTATATCCAGAAATTTAACAGTCATTGAGTTGAACCCAACCCATTCTGAGGAAGAGACAGTCAAGTTGTAGTCATAAAAACTGATACCAAGCCTAAATTAGAACTCTAACTAAATATTTAACCAACACAAGCTGATTTTTTTCTAATAAGAAGTTATTCTGGGCCGGCGCTGTGGCTCACTTGGTTAATCCTCTGCCTGCGGCGCCGGCATCCCATATGGCCGCCAGTTCTAGTCCTGGTTGCTCCTCTTCCAGTCCAGCTCTCTGCTGTGGCCTGGGATAGCAGAAGATGGCCCAAGTGCTTGGGCCCCTGCATCCACATGGGAGACCAGGAAGAAGTATCTGGCTTCGGATTGGCGCAGCTCCAGCCATTTCGGCCATTTGGGGAGTGAACCAGCGGAAGGAAGACTTTTCTCTGTCTCTCTCTCTCACTGTCTAACTCTGCCTGTCAAATAAAAAAAATTAAAAATAAAAAATGAAGTTATTCTTTTCTGTACAAGTATTTGGGCATGATAAAAATGGGAAATATTTGTCATTTCACATAATACTAAAGACAAATTTCCTCTTAAAAAAGCTTTCTCCCAAGAAAGTGCTATTAAAATATTTAATGTAGAATATAAATAAAATAATTATTTCTAAACTATTTATTTATTTATTTATTTGACAGAGTGATAAAGAGAGAAAGAGAGTGAGAAAGAGATCTTCCATCTACTAGTTCACTCCCTAAAAGTCTGCAATGAACACAGTCAGGTCAGGCTGAAGCCAGGAGCCTGAAACTCCATACAGGGCTCCCATGTGGGTAGCAGGGTCAAAGTACTTGAGCCATCATCCACTGCTTCCCAAGTGCATTAGCAGGGAGCTGATTGGAAGGAGAGCATTTGGGACTCGAACTGGCACTCCTTGGCATTCCAATTTAAGCTGCATCACAAATGGCAGCTTAACAGCTACACCAGCCCTGAAAGAATTATTAAGTTGAACAAATGAAAAGATCAGACATTTTTACTTTAACTCTACCAATAAAATCAACAAGAGATTACTATAGGTTAAAATTAGAATCTAAAAAATTCTAATGATTATTTTTATAGTTCTTTTTAGTCTGTTTGTGTATAACATTAGCATGTCCTTTTGAACAGTCGGTTTCTTTATCCAGTAGCAAAACAAAGAGCAGTATTGTTACATATTCAAATGTATTTGTTGTGTGACTGACTTTAACATTTATCATTGACCTTTTTAATGTGTTATTAGACATTTGGCAAGTCCAAATGAACTTTGGACATTTAATACCTGGTGATGAAGTTGCTTGAAGTAAAATCAATATCAGCAATATAGCACAACCATGATTTAAGACCCTACATTTTATCTGAAAGCTTAGGTCTAGGGCTAAATCTGGGCAGCAATCAATTGCTCCCAATCTTGGAACATAAGTACTTCTTAGTTCATTATCCTTTGCAGTCCACAGTTGTCTTCAGAGTACTGTGATAGATTTCTATTTTCATAACTGGGTAGCAAGTTTCTTTGATTTCTTTCAGACTCAGTCCAAAACTACACATTAAATGTTATTTTTAAAATGCTTTTACAAAGGCTACTTTCTATTACTTGAAAATGGTTAGAAGGCATTTGAAGTAATATGAAAGACTAGTCGTGGACTTGGTGTCAGAGATTGTTTTGATATGGCTAAATAAAGTGAAAATGATAAATGCAAAATTATTTTAAATGAATTTATAAAATCTACATTTTTTTAAATTCCTATTTTTAAAATTATTATCAATGACCCCACTGAATGCGACCCAGATCAGAGTATTCAATATCCACCTGACTCAGCACTATCTAAATTCCAGCGGCCACTTGGTCCCCTCAGTTCTACCTTGTCACTGTCAGACTCAGTTAGCTGTCTTCTCTTTATGTGGGGCACTAAGGTGGGAAAATGGGTGATCTGTGAGTAGGCTTCTGGGCATCTGTGAGCCTCTTTAAATTACAAGTAAAGTAGATGTGTTATGTTTGAATATGTATGTATGCTAGGGAAAGGGGCCTATGTTTTATCAGATTCTCAGAGGAAATTATGATTGAGGTTATATGTATAATGTAACTCCTAAATTAGGACACTTGAGAGTAAAAATTGATGCCAGAAAAGCAGGCATATACAGTGGCTATATTAGGGAAACAGAGGTGTGTGTTCACTCCACCTAGAGACCATCATTTTAGCACAGGGAATATGAGACTTACCCCTGGTAAGTCTGCAGGTCAGGTTATTTAATATGCAAATGATGTTCCCTCTACAACCATGTATGACCGAGGCGGGGTCCACTTGTTAGGCCTTTGAAGTACAACAGCAGCTTTATTATATACAATATTCCCAGGGTTTACTCTAAATTTTCTTCTGACTTACCTGTTACCATGTTGTTCACTGGATAATTTTGAAGAGGGAAGTACATCTGCTTCTCTACAACTGGAGTCCTTGTAAAATCCTCTTCTGAGCTGTAAAATGAAACAAACAAAAATTCACATCTATGTTTGTTTTTGGTGGTCAGTTTTTGTTTTTGTTTTTGCACTTGCTTGGCAAGAGAGAACTTATTCTAAATAAAACATATTTATATAGCAATTTAAAGGCACTTTGATCTGATGTCAGTCTAATTGGATGAAAATGTTTATTGTAAATTTCTTTTGTGATTTAAGCTATATATAAGGGCCTACACAGATAGTTTTGGTTTTGGTCACTGCACAAATAAAGTATTTATTGAATATATAGAGACTTAGGACTTTTTCTCAATATCTCTGAAAGTATAATAATTCAATAATACCTTATACTTAGTTAAAATACATACATTTGAGGGGTCTTCAAAAAGTCATGGAAATATATACGATAAAAAAACTGCCTGGATTTCAAATATAGCTTAAATTTCTTACAGTGAAATAAATTTATATTTTAATTCCGTTTCTCCATGGACCTCTTGAAATACCCCCATACATTTGCAATCTTAAATATAAAAAAAACTACAGTAGACTGTTTTATAAATGATCACCATATTTTTGTTATTTATCATTCAAGTAATTAACATTCTATTAAATAGTACTTCCATACTTTACCATAACAAATAAAAAATGATATCTGGGACAATTATGAGTTACAATAAGATTTTAAAAACATTAAGTTATGGTTAGTGTGGTTGTATAGTGTAACTAGCTATATTCTAAATTCTTAATTTAATTTTTAAAACATTAAAAAATTTAGTAGGGGTTGACATTGTGGCATAGCAGGTAAAAGCCACCATCTGCAATGCTGGCATCTCTTATGGGTAATGATTAAAAACCTGGTTGCTCCACTTCCAATCAGCTCCTTGCTAATGTGCCTGGGAGGGCAGCAGAAGATGGCCCAAGTGCTTAGGCCTCTGTACCCAAGTGGAAGACCTGGAGGAAGCTCTGGGATCTTGGTTTGGCCTGGTCCAGGCCTGGCTATTGTGACTATTTGAGGAGTGAACCAGTGAATAGAAGATTTTTCTCTCCGTCTCTCTCTCTCTAGTTCTGCCTTTTAAATAAATAAATAAATCTTTAAAAAATTTACTAACAAAGTGATACATATTTATGGGGTACAATGTTACATTTCAATACATTTGTACAGTGTGCACTGATCAAATCAGGGCAATTAACATTTTCCTCTCTTCCTCATTACTTTATGATTGGAGCCTTGGAACTCTTCTCTTCTATTTGCTGAGAAAATACATAATAGGTTATTATGAACTGTAGTTACCCCACCATGTTGTGTAACACTAGGAACTTATTCCTTCTAACTCTCATTTGATAGCCATTATCCCATCACCTTCTGTCACTCTCCACCCCTCCCTGCCTCTAGTAATTACTGTTCTATGTTCAGATTGAGTTTTTTTCTAGCTTTGATATATGAAATAGAATATGCAATATTTGTCTCTATCTAGTTTACTTAACATAATGTCCTCAAGTTTCATTCACTTTGTGGGAAATAACAGGATTTCATTCTTTTTTATGGCTGAATAATATTTTATTATACATATATACCACATTTTCTTTAACCATTCATCTACTGATGGGCAACATTTTAGATTCTGTTTCTTGGCTATTCTAAATAGTATTGTAATAAACATTGTGGTGGAGGCATCCCTTTGATATAATGATTTTTTTTATCTTTTTTCTATCCAGCAGTGAGATTTCTGGATAACATAGCAGTTCTATTCCTAGTTTTTAAAGGAATTTCCATACTGTTTTCCATACTGGCTGTACTAATTTATAACCAATTCAAGATGGATCAAAGACCTAAATTTAAGACACGAAACAGTGAAATTGCTAGAGGAAAACACAGGGGATAAAATTGGTGAAGGCAATGATTTTTTGGATAAGACCCTAAAAGTACAAGTAACAACATTTAAGATAGACAAGTGAAGTTATGTCAAACTAAGAAGGTTCTGTACAGTAAAGGAAATAATCAACAGAGTGAAGAGAAAACCAACAGAACGGGAGAAAATATTTGCAAGTTATTTACCTAAGGATTAATATCCAAGATATATAAGGATCTCAAAAAACTCAACAAGGAAAATAACTAATCTACTTAAGAATTGGGCCAAGGACCTAAATAGACAATTCTCAAAAGAAGAAATACAAATGGCCAACAAATATATGAAAAAATACTCAATATCACTAGCCATCAGGGAAATGCAAATCAAAATCATAATGAGATACACCTCATCCCAGTTATTACCAAAATTTGTTATCAGAGGAGGATATGGAGCAAGGAGACTCATATACTATTGGTGGTAATGTAAGTTATATCCTAATTTTTTTAAAAAGTTACTTTAAAATTTCTACTTTCTAATGGTCTCAAATAACATTTATTACATTTAGAAAACATTTACCCATTAGATAATACAATATGTAAACAAAAGCTTCAATGATAAAAAATGAGTCGCCCCTAAATTTATTATCTCCCTAAAAATCTAAAATTATACTAATTGTTAATAATGGTTTTGTTTTTGAATTAAAAAAAGAGATTTCGTTTAAATTCTTTTAAAAGAAGCTATACCTCGGTTAAGATGAGATCCTACAAATAAAGCAAAATCGTATTCCCAGAAAAGTTAGGGACTAAACTCATTTATATATATATATAATAGGAATGCAAATTTGTTTAACCTTTTTTGAAGACAATTTGTCAAGAGCTATCAAGGATAAAAATGTATATACCTTTTGACCTAGTAATCCCTCTTCCCTGAAATAATTCTACAGACATACTTGTAGCAAAAGTCCATTAAAGTAAGGGACTACTTGAATAAACCATGGTGAATTCATACAATGGAATACTACATAGTACAAAAAGAAAAGAACTCTTTATGTAGTCATATGGAATGAAATTCAACATAAATTATCAAACAAAAAGAGGCAAGGTGAAGAACAGTATTCATGGTGAGAAAATGGAGAAACGAAAGTATATTTAGATGAATTTGTTAATAAATGTACATATATTGGTTGCCTCTGGGAAGGGAACTGGCTCTCCAGTAGCCAATATTTTTTTCATGGTATCTCCTTTTATATATATTGGATTTTGAATCCCCTAAGTATATTATCTAGGAAAGATAATTAAAATTTCAAAACAAAAATAGTAAGTAGGTATCAATAGCTAAGGAAAATATTTTTATAGCATAATGAGGGCTTTATTGTATCAGATTTTAAAATACATAAAAAGTTATATAATTTAAAGGAATATTGTATTGATATAAAAATAGATCCACAAATTAACAGACTAAAGCAAATAGTCTAAAATAATTTTCATATACAAAAAAGACAAAAAGAAATAAAACATAATAACTTTTTAAAAAACTAGTAGAAATTTGCAAAACAAAACTAAATTTAGATCCTCAACTCATATACCAAAATAAATGTCTGTACAATTTAAAACCCATTTGCTCTCCAATGGGAAAGAATTTTGCTGAACAAGGATACAAAAGAAGAAATTATAAATGAAAAGTGATTAATTTAATGATATAAAAATTTTAAATGTGTTTTTCCAAAGCACAATAAGCCAGACAACAAACTGAGGATACAACTTGACAACTGGCAAAAGGATAATATATGTATTGTTATACATAGACAAGTTGATAAGAAAATTAGTTAGATCCCCAATAGAAAGTATAGAGATAAAAGCAAAGAACCAACAGAAAAGGAAATGTAAAAGGCTAACAAATGTAAAAAGCTCAAATGTATTACTGATCATCAAAGATGCAAATTAAAATAAGATGCCATTTTTTACCTATTAAATTAGCACAAGATTTCTTGTTAGTATTCAAAATATTGATGAGGAATGATAAGATAAACACTGGTGGTATTTTAAATTTGCACTTTTGTGGGAAGCAACTGTCAATATGCATCATGACCTTTAGAAATATTCAGATCTCTTAATACCATATATTCCACATCAGAAAATTCACATGAAGAAAATAATCTAAAAAGTCGAGCAACATTTATTAATGTTTATAGTTTTATTTTTAATTGACAAACAATAGTTTGTACATATTTATGTGGCACAAATGATAGAGCTAGATTTTTCTTTAAAAGATGTTCATGAAGATGTCATAAGAGCAACACATTATTAAAAAATCATAAAAAGATGGTTAAACAAACAATAAAATGAAATATCATATGCAGTCATTGTAAATTATAATAGAAAATAAGGTTTTTCATTGGGGAACTGCCTATAGAATGTTAAATGGAAAATCAAGAGATAAACTATGCAGTATGACCTCAACTCTACTAATATGTGTATTAGTAGAAAACTGTCAAGAAACATACTAACGTTGATGGCAGTTATCTCTGAGTAGTGGAATCATCTTGTAATTTAAATTTTCTTTATTCTTTTCAAAATTTTCCATTTTGACAAATTACATGCATCACATTTATAATAACATAGTAACTCTTAAAAAACAAAGCAAAAATCCATACAATTTTCAGAAGATTTGGGGAACACTTCAGGAAGGGAGAATAGCAGCAAATAAAAATTTATAGTCTGGATCTGCTAGACTTGGTTTCAAATTCATCTCCACTCCTTAGATGAATAATGGATAAATTATCTAGCTCTTGGGGCCAGTGCTGTGGCACAGCAGGTTAAGCAGCCATCTGCGATGCCGGCATCCCATATGGGCGCTAATTCAAATCCCAGCTGCTCCATTTCTGATACAGCTCCTTGCTAATGCACCTGGGAAAGCAACAGAGGGTGCCCCAAATGTTTGGGCCCCTGTACCCACATGGGAGGCCAAGATGAGGCTCCTGGCATTTTGGGGAGTGAGCCAGCAAATGGAAGATCTCTCTCTGTCTCTCTATAACTCTGACTTTCAAATAAATAAATCTTTTAAAAAATTATTTAGTTCTCTAAATCTGTTTCTTCAATTGTAAAATATAGCTAACATTATTTATCTATCCCATAAAGTTGTGAGAATCAAAAGAAATACTGTGAACTGTTTAGCAAACAAGTATTTTGTATTTAGCAAGCGTTCAGTAACAGTTCACCACTTAGTACATATTCAATACTTAGTACATATTCAATATCACTAATAGTAGTATGCCAACAAAAAATGCTTCATGTGTTGGGGGTGGGGGGTTGGGAAACAGGATATATTTTATCTGTGTTCACACTGCACCCTCTGGTGGTTTCACAAAGAAAGACTCTAAGCAGGCATCTGCCTTCCTAAGATGTATTTATTCATATCCTTTGTCTATTTTTGGTATTTTTATTAGATTAGATGTATTTTCCCCAGATTTATAAAAACCTCTTTATAACATTAAGGAAATTAGACTTTATAGAAAAAAGATAGAAAAAAACTATTAATTTCTATATTGAAAACAATTATTTAATCATTTTTATTTCAGCAACTAAATTCTTTTTTTAAAAAAAGATTTATTTATTTGTTTGAAAGGTAGAGCTACAGAGAGGCAGAGGCAGAGAGAGAGAGGTCTTCCATCCATTGGTTCACTCCCCAGTTGGCTACAGTGGCCGGAGCCAAGCCAATCTGAAGCCAGGAGCTCTTCCATGTCCCCCACGTGGGTGCAGGGACCCAAGCACTTGGGCCATATTCTGCTGCTTTCCCAGGCCATAGCAGAGAGCTGGGTCAGAAGGGAAGCAGCCAGGACTCGAACCAGTGCCCAAATGGGATGCTGGCACTGCAGCCGGCGGCTTTACCTGCTATGCCACAGTGCCGGCCCCCTAAACTCCATTTTGAATAACTGATGTCCCCTATGAATGTTTGAAAGCCCAACTGAATTAGAACTAAATTATTAATAAGTCTGTAAGAGACTGGCCCCAAGACAATGCTGTCTGGGTTTGCTTGTCTTTTTAAATTTAATTTCTTAAACTGAAGTAGTCACATTACAAAACAATTTGGAACAGAAGAAAGAAATCAGTTACAACCTTCAAATTACTGCTAACATTTTGTATAATTCCTATTTGGATATATAAATATATTTTAAAGATTTATTTATTTGAAAGACTGAGTAGAGGGAGAGGGAGAGACACCTTTCATCTGCCAGTTCATTCCCTAAATGGCTGCAAAGGCCATGCCTGGACCAGGCCTGATCCAGGAACTGAATCTGGGAGCCTGGAACTCTACCCAGGTCTCCCATATGGGTGGCAGGGTCCCAAGCACTTGGTCCATCCTCCACTGCCTCCTAAGGAGCATTAGCTGGAAGCTGGATCAGAAGTGGAGCAGCCAGGGCTCAAACAGGCACTCATAGGGGATGCTAGTATCTCAGGCAGTAACTTAACCCACTGGCACCACAATGCCAGTCCTTTTTAAAGAGTAGCATAACTGTTATCATAACACACATAATCTTGGTTTCCTTTCTGCAGAGATAGTACAGCAGAGTAGTTACATGCAGAGGCGCTGAAGTTGGATTGATCCAGGTCCAATCCTACTTCTCCTCAATTAAACTTTGTATGATTTTGGGCAAATGACTGAAATATTTTAATCCTAAATATCTTTCTCTATAAAGTGAGATTGGTGATAACAATATCAATCTCATAGAAAGAGAGTGAAAATGAAATGAGATAAGCACGCAATAAGTGCCCAAAGATATCTATGTGGAGTTGAATATCAATATAGTATATGAATTCAATACCTTTTGGACAATTCTTTTTTGTCCTCTGTTGCTAGTCCACTGCTTTCACTAAGACATTTTATTTCTTTTGATGTTACTTCATCATGCTGTAGATAGTAAAAGAAAGCACATTTCAAAATTCAACACACTAGCAAGCCAATTAATATTTGAAAAAAGGAAACTGGCTATAAAAATATTTATATATTTATCATTATATCTAGTTTGGTAGATGTACACAAGCATAATGTACTATATATTTTTAGAGGTACATAAAGATGAGAATTTTAAAGATATCAGCTGTGGTTGTATTAAATGTTGATAGATTTAATTGCCTTTCATTTTTGAAATTTTCTCTAACATGGTCATATTACATTTTTAAAATTTATTTATTTGGAAGACAGAAACAGGGAAAAACACAGAGATATGAGACAAAGAGATTTCTCATCTGTTGATTCACTCCCCAAATGCCTGCAACAGCCAGGGGTGAGCCATGCCAGGCATTCTGATATATGGGGCATCTTAACTGCTGCACCAGTCATAAAAAATAAGAAAACAAAGCAAAAAGAAGTGTTACTAATTTTCTTAAAATTCCTGACTTAAGGATTTCAGGGCTTTCTGTGAGCTACAAATAAAAAATAGGAAGTATGCTGAACAAATTGACAACTAAAAATGACAGTGAAATATTTAACTGGGAAGTTCTGAAAGAACTTTGGTATATTAAGCTTTTCAAAAAGGTTTGTGAAAGTGGCTTTGATATGGGTACCTATCATATAATCTATTTACTTAATATGCTATTGGGTAATTTTTATATTTTGGTCATAAATCTATTCCAAACAATGATAATGCTTCCCAAATTACTTTCCAGATTTACCCTTGTTACTGCCATTCCATAAAGTACCTTTTACTTACATGTTCTGTGGTACATTATTATAATTAGCTAGGATTCAATATCAATCAATACTTTGAAAAAATTGACAAAATCCTTTATTGTGTAACAATATAATTTCTAGAGTCAATAAAAGTATGCTGTACTTTTTTTTAGTAGAAAAATCACTGGGTTGTATTGAAGAACATATGTAGAGAAGAAAATTTGATTCTACTTTCCTAGCTATGTAAACTAAAAGATGTCTTTTCTCTTTACCTCAGTTTTCTCATTCATAAAATTAATTAAATTAATGATCTTTAAAGTCCTTTTGAACTCTGCAGTTCTGCTATATGTAATAATTATTATCAAATAATAACCATCCAATCACCACTTATGTTCCTAAAACACTGTGATAAGCCAAGGATTAGGTATTTTATTTTCTTTCTTTTTAAAATTCTTATTAAGGATTAGGTATTTCCACCCTTAGTAAAACTTAAGCTAATTTCTTGGATATATTATAAAAATTTTCTCCCTTATTGTGAAACATTTGAAGTTTATTGGAAAGTTAAATTGTACAATAAGTACTATATACTTTTTTTTTTTTTTTTTATAGGCAGAGTGGACAGTGAGAGAGAGAGACAGGTCTTCCTTTGCTGTTGGTTCACCCTCCAATGGCCGCCGCCGCCGGCGTGCTGAGGCCCCAGCGCACCGCGCTGATCTGAAGGCAGGAGCCAGGTGCTTCTCCTGGTCTCCCATGCGGGTGCAGGGCCCAAGGACTTGGGCCATCCTCCACTGCACTCCCGGGACATAGCAGAGAGCTGGCCAGGAAGGGGGGCAACCGGGACAGAATCCGGCGCCCCGACCGGGACTAGATCCCGGTGTGCCGGCGCTGCTAGGCAAAGGATTAGCCTATTGAGCCGCGGCGCCTGCTAGTACTATATACCTTTAACCTAGATTTATATTTTCCCCACCTTGAGTGCCCTTTCTTTCTTCATTTTTGCTGAACCATTTGAAAACATTTGCAGATATCATACCATTTCCACTTCTTAAAACTAGAATGCATTTTCTTTAAAAATATACTCTTTCATCTTTACAATACCACTCTCACACTAAAGAAAATTAATGTTAATTCAAGATCACCTAATTTATAGCCGGTGGTTAAATTTTCCCCAAAATGTCTTTTACACTTTTTTTTAAGTTAAAAAATATCCAGAATCCAGTCAAGGTTTATATATCACATCTAAGTATTATTTCTCTTAATCTGGAACAGACCTTCTGTCTTTTTAAATTAATTAATTTTAAATTCATTTGAAAGGGGGAGAGAGAGAGAGAGAGAGAGAGAGATCATCCACCTGCTGGTTTACTCCCCAAAAACCCACATCAGCTGAGGCTGGGCCAGGCCAAAGCTTGGAGGCAGTAACTCCATCTAGGTCTGCCATCTGGGTGGCAGGGACCCAAGTAGTTGAGCTATTATTTGCACATTAGCAGGGAGCTACAATGGAAGTAGAAGACAATCTCAAGAACTCTGATATGCAATGCAGGTATCTCAACTGGTGGCTTAACCTACTGCACCATAATGCCTATCCCTGCCTATCCCTCTCCTGTACTTTTTTTTTTTACAAAAAAAAATTTTTTTTTTTTTGAAGATTTATTCTATTTGTTTGAAAGACAGAGTCACAGAGAGAGGTAGAGACAGAAAGAGAGAGGTCTTCCGCTGGTTCACTCCCCAGATGGCGGCAACGGTGGGAGCTTCGCCAATCCAAAGCCAGGAGCCAGGAGCCAGGAGCTCCTTCCGGGTCTACCATGTGGTTGCAGGGGCCCAAGCACTTGGGCCATCTTCTACTGCTGTCTCAGGCCATAGCAGAGAGCTGGATCGGAAGTGGAGCAGCTGGGACTAGAACCAGCACCCATATGGGATGCTGGCACTTCAGGCCAGGGCTTTAACCCACTGAGCCACAGCCCCAGCCCCCAATATTAAATTCTGGATTTAATATTCTGATTGTTAACCACAATTAGACTCAGGTTAAGCATTTTGAGCAAGAATACTACATAGATAGCACTGTGTACTTATTAAATATTATATCAGCCTTGACATAATGTGAAGTTGTTCCAATACATGTGATACAAAGTCTGATCAGTTGGTTAACATGGTGTTTGTCAAATCTCTCCATTGTAAAGATCATTGTTTGCCTTAGTAATTAGTAAGTAATCTGTGAATGATAATTTGAAATTGTGGTTTTAGAATCCATTAATGACCTTGGCCTAAATCAATTCTTATATTTGGGGCTACACAATGGAGATTTTCTATTCTACCATCCTTTCTATATTTATTAGCTGCTATTATTCTGCAGTGGAAAACTTTCCTTATCCCACCTTTTTTTCTACCTTCCTTTATCCCTCCTGCTTTTGGAGTATCACTGTGGACTCATGGATCCTTTTTATTTAATGTATTATAATCTATAGTTGTCATTATCCCTTTTTGATATGCAGAGTATCCCAAATTTGGCTACTGTACAAAGATTTTGAAGTCAAAACTGTAAGTAGGGGCTGGCATTTGGTGCAGCAATTAAAGACACTGCTTGGGACACCTGCATCCATTATCAGGTGCCTGGGCTCAAATCCTGGCTCCATTTCCAATTCTAGCGTTCCACTAATGTGCACCCTATGAGCCAGCAGGTGATAGCTGAAGTACTTCGGTCACTGCCACCCACATAGGACACCTAGCTCCTGACTTCAGCCTGGCTACTCTGAGTACAGACAGTAGATGAATGATCTCTCTCACACCTCTCTCCCTCATCCCTCTCTCTCTCTCTCTCTCTCTCTCTTTTCCCCCTTTCAAATAAATGCTTTTTTTAAAAAAATAGGTAAATTTGAGTCAGGATGACAAAAGCTAAAATAGCCGATTTTCAGTATTGTACACACTTATTGAGGACTGTTACTCAAAACATTTAACAAATGGCACATCACAGCAATTAATCAGAATCTACACTGGCAGTAAAGAACTGGTAAGTATCATGTACCTAAAACTCTCTTAATATTGCTATCAGAAGCAAATTTTCCACTTTTTATATGAATACTAACATTTATATAAAAATACTTCATGTACTACTATAAAAACAATGTCAAAACAGATAATATTCAATAAAAGCATGACCTTAATTCCTTAATCTGGCTCATGATTGCTAACATGTCACAAGCAAAAATTTTTTAAATTACATTGTTTTCTGAAAACTTTGAAACTGAATTCTAATCAAGAACCTTAATTTACTCTTACCTTTTCTGTCAGAAAATGTTGGTCTTGTTCCCAAATAAAACTACCAATTTTTCTTCTTATTTCTGTGGTAAGAAAAACAAATCCCATACTATTTTTCAAAAGTAGCTTTATAAAATCTTCTGACTTTTGTTGAAGTTTGAAATTTCTAAGTCAGTGTTATTCCATTTGCATCAACCTATGACACTTATTAAAATGCAGATTCCTGTTGAATCAGATCATTTCAGAAATTTGCTTTTCTAGCATTCCAATGTATTATGAAAATCACTGTTGCTTTTTCTCTTGGAATACATTTCTTCATTAGATATCAGTGTCTGTATTAGGCAAACAATTGTCCAATCAAAATAAAGTGTAAAACTGCTGAGCTTGCAGACCAGAGATCCTTAAGAATTAATTTATTTACTAAGAAAAGAATAGAAAAGCAATATGTCTAGTAGGTAGGGGAGTGCAGGAATTCTGCAGTATTGAGCAAGTCAATCAAAGGACTATGTCATCATCCTAAATCAATGCTCTCAAAAGTTTGTACAGGATCCACTGAAGTACAATGAGGGTAATATTACTCCAGACCTCCACTGTCCAGGATGGCAGCTACTAGCTACATTTGGATATTGAGTGCTCAAAATGTGTGGTGAATCCAAATTGAGATGTGCTGCTGTAAGTATAAAATAAACACTGTATTTCAAAGATTTAGTATCAAAAATATATGACAATATTTTGGATATTCAAGGGTACTTCAGAAAGTCTGGAAAAGTAGAATTAATTTATTTTAGTGCAAATTTCTTTTTAAATTTCAATTTATTTGTCATTTTATTTGAAAGACAGAGACAGAGATCTTCCATCCTCTGGTTCACTCCTCAAATGCCCATAACAGCCAGGGCTGGGCCAAGCCAAAGACAGGAGCTCAGAACTCCATTGTGGTATCCCACATGGATGGCCAGGAACCTGAGAATTTGAGCCATAATCTGCTGCCTCCTATGATACACATTAGCAGGAAGCTGGATCAGAAGCAGAGAAGCCAGGCCTCAAATCAGATACTGTGACATGGGATGTCAGTGTCCCAAGTGGTATCTTAACTGCTTGTACCACAAATCTGGTCCTTCGGTGCAAAAAAAAAAATTCTATCATGGTTTTTTTCATAATACACATTTTCCATAAACTTTTTGAAGAACCTTCTATTAGGTTAAGTAAAACATGTTTTAAAAATTAATTTCACTTATTTTTATTTTAAATAAATATTTATTTAATTTATTTGAAAGGCAGATAGAAGGGTGGGGAGAGAGAGAGAGAGAGAGAGAGAGAGAGAGAGAGATGGATTTTCCATCTGCTGGTTCACTCTGCGAATGGCTGCAACTACCAGTGCTGGGCCAGGCCAGAGCCGGGAGTCAGGAGCTTTTTCTGGGTCTCCTACATGGGTAGCAGGGGCCCAAGCACTTGGGCCATTCTTTGCTGCCTTCCCAGGCACATTAGCAGGGAGCTGGCTCAGAAGCAGACTCGAGCTGGCACCCATATGGGATGCCAGTACTGCAGATGGAGGTTTTAACCTTCTACACCACAGTGCCAGCCCCTATTTTTTAATATGATTACCAGAAAGCTTTAAATTCATATGGGGTTCATACTGCTCTAGGTGGATACAAATGCATACTTTTTATTTTTTAAAAGTAGCTTGCTTTTATTTAAAGCAGATTTTTAAGGATTTAAAAACATGTTAATATAAGATGCTAAACATAAAAGGAATGATAATTTAAAATCAAATCAGTTAGTCATTTTACAGTATAAGCTCCTTGAAGGTAGGTATTCACTGATTTGTCAATCTTTTTTTAATAAACCAATTCTCCCTACTAGTAATTAATTAACTTGCATAAATCACTTAGAGCAATTTAGTGTTATAAGTTACAAACAGGTCTCACAAGACAGCAACTATGGAAGAAACTCAATATTTGCAGTTTCTAAAAGCTCTTCTACAGAAATATTTTTCAAGTTTTTTTTAAATACTCTTTTATTTGGGAATTTGTACTCTGCTTCAATCTGTCTTTATGAAGATGTACATTTACCTATTGGTAGATGATACACATTAAGAATTGGACAATAAAGTAAATCGTACAAAAGTGGAATGTTTAAAGTTAACCCAGAAAAGAGGGGTAGGATTTGGACCAAAGAATAGGATAAGCAGTGAAAATTGAAAAAAAATCACTCTCAGAAACAGCTCACTTACTTATTTACTTGCCCTTCCAACTTCATTGGGTTGCTGAAATAATATGAAAGTACTTCCAAAAGGAAAAATACAATATGGGTATTATTCCCATTATATATTGTATATTGTAATATGGGTCTATTATCATAGCAAATACTTATTTAAATGTCAGAAGAAAATTTCAGAAAAATAAGAAGTTCAAAACTGGAAAAGGATACATTTATTAAATGCTCACTACATGTCAGACACCTTAACATATTATTAAATTTTATCCTCAAAACAACCCGGGAGAATTTTAAAAACTTGTTAAAAGTTCACAGACTAGAAAGTGCTGATTCCAGTCAGTGAGCACTTTAAGGGCCAGAACTGCACCAGTCTTATTCACAACAGAATCCCTAGCACCTAGGTTAAAACATGACATCTTGGAGGAGCTCAATGAATCTGTGAAAGAACAATAAAGCCAGGATATACACTTAAGGCAACCTGATCCAAAGTATATGCTTTTCTCACTTATACTAAATGATACCAAACTCAAAAATTTCTGACTGAGGACAAAGATCAGAAAAGTTGGATTTGACTGCCTAACAGGAATTGGTTGAATGATGTTTGCTAACCTTTTTGCAGGCATGCAGGAGGAAGCATGAAATGACCTAAAGGCACTGAGCTTTTAATTTCAGCACTGGCTACTGCAGAGAGATAGCAGGCATGAAAAACCGTAGCATTATCTTCTATGTAATCAAGGCTCTGATAAATTCTAGGAGAAAGAAAGGAAACCTTTTAGGTTATAAAATAAGCAAAAAAAAAATGTATTCAAACTTTTGAAAGAAAGAATAAACCACTGATATAGGGGACAGTTACATTAAAGGATACATGTACATTTATTCTGGTCCTTTCTTGTTTTTGTTTTCGGGCAAAGGGATAAAAACATATAGCCTATGATATTACTGTTTTGGGGGCTAAAATCCAGGCAGATTTCAACTTTAGAGATTTAGTAAATGTTTACTTGAATTTAGACCTAAAATGTTACTATTTACTGGTCATCATCAATGGATGGAGAGCCAGTAACCTATGGGTTTTATCCACAGTCCTTGCTATAAAGAGGAATCAACCACTTCTGAGGTGTGGTAAGGGAAACCTTCACATAGAAAAAGCAGTGTCTTTCCTGGACCTGTAAAACGCACAACAAGAAAAAAAAAAGGGGTGGGGGTGGTAGGGGAAGATGCATGGAGGCGCGATAAGGCGAGATGGGGCTGACTGGACTATGAACAGCACAAGAAACACTGGGAAAGAAACCAGGCAGGCACTAGCCAAGGTCCAAGTCTGTAGGCAGTCAGCAGGGGAGGGCAGACGGTGGGCAGGAGAGCTGTGACTGGGCTTCTGCTTTGTATGAAGGGGTCTGCCGGGGACAGACTCCCGGCGGGGTAACCTCTGGGAAGTTGCTGTGAAAGTCTGCACAAGAGGTAAGGGTACCACTAGGGCGACAGCAGGGAGGATGCTTGGGGGAAAGCTCGTTATTCGAAAAACATGGAGGTTTTACGTTTGGGGGACACAGGCTCTGGGGCAGGTATGAGGGGACACAACTCCTGGTTTAGACGTATTATGTTTGAGGGACCCTCGGGAAACACGCGCCTCGGAGACCAGGCTGGGAGGCCGTGAGACTGAGGTGGACAGGCAAGGGGAAAGCTTTCTGTGTGCTCTCTCACGCGGAGGACTGAGAAGGCGCTCGCTTCCGGTCTCAGTCCACCAGCGCTAGTTGTTAGTGGGCTGCAACTTTTGCGCCCGACTCCGGACTCATCCCGACGCACAGGCGCTGCCGGGTGGCCCTCAGTACCTCATTGTGTCTGGGTGCGAGGCATCGCAGCTGAATAAGAAGTTGGCCGCCTGAGCGTCGCTGATTGTCCCTCCCTCGGCCACTGTGGAGGCAAGAGCACAGGGTGAGCCCTAGCAAGTACCCTGGTGCACCCCTCACCCGACCCTTCTGGCCGGCTTCCTACCCCAGAACTGCCTCAGGTCCTGGCTGACACTGCGGCAGAACCAACCGCGCTGCCCTTGAAACATGGCGGCGGCGTTCGCTGTGAGAACATGGGGCGGGACCCGGGAGCTGAGGCTGATGATTGGTCCCAGCTCTGAAGCCGGGCTCCATGATTGGCTTCTAAGAGCAGTGGGCGGGAAAGGTCTGAGGCACGTGGAAGAGGGACTGGGGCTACCAGACTGTGCTGACTGACTCACAAGGTTGTTCAGGGGCTCCCAGCCTTCTCTGCACACCCCGCGGGAGGAAGGCCCCTCCAGCTGGTGAGTTTTAAACCCCAAGTATTAACAAAGTCCCTGTGCTGTGTTGTACACCCACGGGCACAGGTTCTGAAGCATCAAGTATTATTTTGAAGCAAAACTCATTTTATCCTTTCGTCTATAAATGTTTCACTTTGAATCTCTAAAGTATGAAGGCTTTAAAAAAAATCATTGCACTTAAAAAAAAAAAGTTCTTAAGTATAGCCAAGTATCACCAGTGTTCAAATTTCCACTTTTCTCAAAATAATGTTTTTCTTTTATGGTCCTCCTATCCCTGCCCCGCTTCTTAGGTCTGTTTTGATAAATTGGATTTTTTTTTCTGGTGTGGAATCTAAATCTAAAATTTCAAAATTACTATCTATAAAATATTTTTTCTTTCTGGATGAGCATTCGGCCCAGCAGTGGCCCCAGCTTGGGATGCCCATATCCCATATTGGAATGCTTGAGTCCTGGCTGGGCTGTGAATTCCAGAATCCTACCAATGCACTCCACAGGAGGCAGCTCAAGTACTCGAGTTCTTAACTCCCATGTGGAAGACCAGGATGGAGTTACTGGCTCCTGGCTTTGGCCTGACGTGGTCCTGACTGTTGGCTGCCTTTGGAGAATGAACCAGCAAATGGAAGACCTCTTTCAAATAAAATGAAAATGAATAAAATTGCTTAAATTTTTCTTTTTTAATGTCTGCAGGTTCTGTAGTCAGGGTTATTTTCTTAAAAAATTATTCATTTATTTGAAAGGCAGAGAGAGAGAGAGAGATGAGACAAGAGAGAGATCGTTCATCTGCTGGTTCACTCCCCAAATGGCCACAACTGCTGGAGCTGGGTTGATCCGAAGCTCCTGGGTCTCCCACATACGTGCAGGGGTCCAAGCACTTGGGCCATCTTCCACTGCTTTCCCAGGTGCATTATTAGCAGGGAGTTGGGTCAGAAGTGGAACAGCTGGTACCCATGTGGGATGTTGGCACCTCAGGTGGAGGCTTAACCTTCTATGCCACAGCACCAGCCCCCTTCTGAAAATGGTTATTTGTAACTTCTTTTTTATTTTGTAGTCTCATCAGAGCTTTATCAATTTTATTAGCCTTTTCAAAGAACAAACTTCTGGGTGTGTTGATATTCTCCTCATGTATTTCTTTTTTGGAATTAGAAATATTTATTCAGAATATAAGAATGTTTGTAAAATATTATAAATTTCTATCTATAAATGAAATATTTTTAAAGTGATCCTGTTTCACAGATATATTTTTATTTATTTAGCTCTTTATAATTCCCATGTATTTTCCTTGTTTTTGAATTGCTGTTCATTTTCTAATTTCTTGAGATAGATGATTGGTGTTCAGTCTTTGTTTTTCTAATATGTGCATAAATGGATATACATTTCCTTTCTTAAGAAAATTAATTGGGGCTGATATTGTGGCATATTGGATAAAACCACTGTGTTCAATGCCAGCATCCCACATGAGTGCCAGTTTGTGTCCTGGCTACTCCACTTTTGATCCAGCTCGCTGCTAATGACCCAAGAAAAGCAGTAGAAGGTGGCCCAAGTGCTTGGGCCCCTGCTACACACATGGGAAAGCTGAAAGAAGTTCCTGCCTCTTGGCTCCCAGCTTCTGCTTGGCACAGGCCCAGCTATTGTAGACATCTGGGGAGTGAAACAGCAGGGTGGAAGATCTGTCTCTGTGTGTGTGTGTCTGATTCTCTATCAATTACTGAGAAAGCAAAGTTTAAAAAAACTCATACTTTATTTACAGATTTATCAATTCCTTCTTGTATGTTGTTAATTTTTGCCCTGTGGATTTTGAAGCTTTGTCATTAGGTACATTTAAATATGTACTCACTTGTTCTTACCTTCTTGTTGATTGAGCCATTAAGCATTAAATATGAAAGGCAAAACTCCAAAACTTCATTAAAAAGAAAAACACAGGAGACTTTCTTTCTGGCATCAGGATCAGCAAGGATTCTTTAAATAAGATGCAACAAGATCCATAAATTTGACTGTATTAAACTTCATCAAAGTTACTATAATTAGAATGAAAATACAAATTACAAAATGTGGCAAAATACCTGTAGCACAAATCAACAGTGCTCTCTCTCTACCTCTTCCTCTCTGTAACTCTGACTTCCAAATAAATAAATAAATAAATAAATCTTAAAAAGAAAGATGTTTAATTTTGGTACAACAGTTTTGAAATCCATACGTAGTTTTTTCATCATATGCATTTCCATAGACTTTTAAAGATCCCTTGTATACATTACCTAAACTCTTCTGTATATATTTTATAATTAGATTTTAAAAAATAATCAAGAATGTTTGTAAACTTAGGAAGACTTTATCTGGAGTAGTGAATTTTTTTTTTAGAAACCTTTTATTTAATGAGGATAAATTTCATGAGTACATCTTTAGGAATACAGTGATTCTTCCTTTTTTTTTTTTAAGGTTTATTTATTTTACTTGAAAGTCAGAGTTACACAGAGAGAGAAGGAGAGGCAGAGAGAGAGAGAGAGGGCTTCCATCCCCTGGTTTACTCCCCAATTGGCCGCAATGGCCGAAGCTGTGCCGATCCAAAGCCAGGAGCCAGGAACTTCCTCTGGGTCTCCCATGCAGGTGCAGGGACCCAAGGCTTGGGCCATCTTCTACTACTTTCCCAGGCCACAGCAGAGAGTTGGATCGGAAGTGGAACAGTCGGGACTAAAACCAGTGCCCATATGGGATGCTGACACTGCATGCGGTGGCCCCACCCGCTATACCACAGCACCGGCCCCAAGATTCATTTTGATTAACTTTATACACAGAAGACCAACTCTATACTAAGTAAATATTTCAACTATTTGCACATACGCACCCACTAAATACAAAAAGCTGCTTGAGAACAAGTTTTACAGTTGAATCTCGTAGTACAACTCATTTAGGACAGAGGTCCTACATGGAGACTAAGTGCACAGTGACTCCTGCTGTTAATTTAGTAGTTAACACTCTTATGTATGACGTCAGTGATCACCCGAGGCTCTTGCCATGAGTTGCTTGGCCTATGGAAGCCTTTTTTTTTTTTGACAGGCAGAGTGGACAGTGAGAGAGAGAGACAGAGAGAAAGGTCTTCCTTTTCCGTTGGTTCACCCTCCAATGGCCACTGTGGCTGGCACGCTGCGGCTGGTGCACTGCGCTGATCTGAAGCCAAGAGCCAGGTGCTTCTCCTGGTCTCCCATGGGGTGCAGGGCCCAAGCACTTGGGCCATCCTCCACTGCACTCCTGGGCCACAGCAGAGAGCTGGACTGGAAGAGGAGCAACTGGGACAGAATCCAGCGCCCTGACCCAGGGTGCCGGTGCCACAGGTGGAGGATTAGCCTATTGAGCCTTGGCACTGGCCAATGGCAGCCTTTTGAGACCACATTCTCCTTCAGAATTTAAGCAAGGCCAAAGGCAAAGTGGAAGTTCTCTCCTCCCTTCAGAGAGAAGTATGTCCTTCTTTGATGGCCCTTTCTTTCCACTGGGGTCTCATGGAGTAGTGAATCTTAATAAATTGACAGGGGCATCTTTTACCTTCTACATCATACAGGATGCTTTTGTTACTGTCAGCCTCACTGTCTTGTAGCCTGAAATACAGTGTTACTTGCATATAAGATAGCCCCAGCCATGATTCTCATGACTACCATTCAGGGTCTATTTTAGCAGGTGTCATATTAGTGGTGTTTTTTTTTGTTTTTTGTTTTTTTTTTTTTTTGACAGGCAGAGTGGACAGTGAGAGAGAGAGAGAAAGGTCTTCCTTTGCCGTTGGTTCACCCTCCAATGGCCGCTGCGCTGTGGCCGGCGCACCGTGCTGATCTGAAGGCAGGAGCCAGGTGTTTCTCCTGGTCTCCCATGCGGGTGCAAGGCCCAAGCACTTGGGCCATCCTCCACTTCACTCCGTGGCCATAGCAGAGAGCTGGCCTGGAAGGGGGGCAACCGGGACAGAATCCGGCGGCCCGACCGGGACTAGAACCCGGTGTGCCGGTGCCGCAAGGTGGAAGATTAGCCTAGTGAGCCACGGCACCGGCTCATATTAGTGTTTTATAGTTGACACTCATTAGAAACATTTGTGCTGTTAGTTGTATTCTGAGTCCTATATAAAGGGATTGTTCAAGTGATTTAGTTTAGAGTAACCAATTGAGAAAACTGTGGGAAAATAAATTTGCATCATCAATGTTAGGATAAATGCTGGAGAGCTGAGCTGGAATGTCAGAAAAAAGTTTGAAGGGAGGTAACAGGTAGTGGATAGTATGTATACACCTGTGGTCTGGCATTATTCCTTTGATCATTTGAATAAAGCATTCATATTTTTCTTTTCCTCTAAAATAGTTTTATTGTAGTATAGCTTATATTCTGTAAAATTTTCCATGATAAGTATGTGGTTTGCTAATTTCTAGTTTATATTACTATGCAATCATCACCATATAAACACTCCTTCTTATGAAGTTATTTTCCAAATTTAGATTAGACTTTTTTTTTTTTTTTTGATAGGCAGAGTTAGACATTGAGAGAGAGAGAGAGAAAGGTCTTCCTTCCGTTGGTTCACCCCTCAAATGGCCGCTACGGCTGGCGCACTACGCCGATCTGAAGCCAGGAGCCAGGTGCTTCTCCTGGTCTCCCATGTGGGTGCAGGGCCCAAGCACTTGGGTCATCCTCCACTGCCTTCCCGGGCCACAGCAGAGAGCTAGACTGGAAGAGGAGCAACCGGGACAGAATCCGGCACCCCGACCAGGACTAGAACCTGGGGTGCCAGCGCCGCAGGCAGAGGATTAGCTTAGTGAGCCACGGCACTGGCCAGATTAGACTTTTTAGTCATTGTTATTCATCTTTTACTTTATCCAACTAA